CCTCCGGAGAAGTTTTGAGGTCAACCACATAACGCAAGGCGTCATCTGACGATTCAAACGAATTTTTCTCACCACCTTTTCCTCCATCTCTTGCCACTCTTTATCGTCTATCTATGGTGGTTTCTTCGATTTCCCTAGCAAAGCCTTAGCCAGACCTTACTGTATTAGAAGATCATTCATCCTTCGTCGCCAAAGAGTGAAGTTGTTCTTTTCATTGAACCTCTTAATGTCATACTTGATGCTTGAGCCCTTTCCCGTCATCGTGGTAGCAAACCCCAGAACTAGGAATAACCTGGTAAGCTCTGATACCAATTTGTAGAAACGAAAGTAATCCACGAAAACAATAAAGATGAAACAAACACAAAAGAAAGAGACAATCAACCACAATGCAAAGATATATGTAGTTCGACAATGTGCCTACGTCTACGAGAGATGAGAGCTTCTTTACTGGCAATGGAGAATAGGGTTACATTTGCTCTCTTCCTTATGCCTCTTTGTTCTCTCTTATTACAAAAAATATGTGCTTTTTCCTTAACCCTAAATGAACCCCCCATCGCAATAATATATATTGAATCACAATAACATATATCGAGTTGCAACAATATATATCGAGTCCTAGATATATGGTACAAATTATCGAAATATCCCAAGTATAGACATATATCAAATCCCAGATATATCGAATCCCCATGTACGGCTCAAGCTTTTAACATCCCTCCGGAGTTGTCCTTTTGACTCTACCTTGACAAATCTATTTCATCATAATACAAGACATCAATCCTTATCAAAAAATCCATCTAATTGATCATCTCGACATCGAAATGCATGAATATGAAAAAAAAAAAAAGATTTTGAATCCCATAAATAGTGCATCTCGCAACACATTGCTAGATCGTTGATAGGTCGTCCATTTTCAAGATTTAAATATGTTTATAGATCTCCTTGATTTTAACCATTTTTGGAGTTTAAAATTTTATAATTAGATATAAAATAGATTTTCAGATAATCTTAAAAAAAAAAAAAAAAAATTGCTTCAAAATTACATGCTATGCTATGATAAAATTTAGAGGTACGCCTTAATTGGATTGTTTGAGGTTGCAACCTTATAGAAACCACACACCCTGTGTATGCTCTCTCGAGCATGCCATACGTGCTATTCCCAATTTCTTTATCCACGTTTTCGCATTTATTTTCTTCACTGATTTGAACACATTGTCATTTATTTGTTGGGAGGATATCCTATATTTTATTTATCAAAAAAAAAGAAATGATATCCTATATTTTCTTTAGTATGCAATTCCTATATGTCCTAGACTTTAAGAAACAAAGTAGAGCCTTGTATCGAATCCTCATCTGGAAATCACTTTGGCCATTGAATTTCTCAATGATGGCTCTAAAATCAATTTCTAATACCGACTATAAAATTTGAAGCTCAAAACATGCTTCAAATCTTATTTTTAGAACGAAAGGGATGGTTCAAATAATGTTTTAAAGTATACATCATTTTTAGGGCTTAAAATCCCAATTTTTTTCACAACTATATAGTCAAGGCCGAGATGACCGATTTTAAGATTTTCGGATGCCATAATTGTAGTTTTTGGTGAATTTTGAGTGAGTCATTTACTTATTTTGATAGGGCATCCCTATCATAACATTTTCCATTTCTTTATTATCCTTCCAAGGAGTTTCTTATTATTGCTGAAGATGTGAGCTTCATCACGTCATGTACTCATTGTTATACTCAATCCTTCCAAGTAAATTTCTCAACATTCCTGAATATAACAACTCCATGGTCCTGGTCTCCAGCGTTATGAAGTAGTGTCTTATCGTTATCGTAAAGACCACGTCTCCTTGGACTTTTTATTTTCCTACTGCAATAAAAAATTAGATTATAAAGCTATAAACTATGTTAGATTATTATTTTGTTAAGTTTCCAGTCAGTTGACTCCTCTCTTTATTTGTTGCTTAACTAAGCAAGAGGGATCCCAACGAATTATGAAAGAAAAAAAAAGAGAAGTGAAAAGGAAAAATTGCAAAACTCCTCCAAAAAAAAAGAAAATAAAGAAAAAATAAAATTGTAATGGAGTATGCATGCATGGATTGCCTGAGTGTTCTCGTCCGAGTAACTAGGCTTGCCATCCTGGCGAGGCCGAGTATTTCGAGTTTGGTGTTCTCGAGTTTGGTGGTCAAGCTTGGGATCTTAAAAAAATATATAAGAAATCTAAAAAATAAGAAATTTAGTTGTAATATATTTTTTTTATATTTTTATTGTTTTGGTAGAGATTGGGAAGTGTTTTGGTCATAAATATTGATTTTTGTATTTTTCATTCTTTTTTAATTATTTTTAAAATAGACCCGGTCATGTTTTCAAATCCATTTTTTCACTATTTTTTTTAACCTCATTTAGGCGTATTTTGTTAAAATTGCTTTAAACATATTTTGCATATTTTTTGATATTTTTTTGTTTTTTTTTTTTTCAACATTTTTTGGCCTGGCCAAGACCTGCGCAATTCGGGCCAAGTTACACGGACTTGGCCCAGCCGGGATCTGGGGCCGAGTCGTGCTTTCATACACTGGATTGCCCAAAATGAACACATGCATGGGCTCATGGCCCCATGGTGAAGAGCATAGGCATGGCATGATGGACATGATGATGTATTCATGCTGACTAATGTAGGATACAAACAGTCATCTTACTCATGCTTTGTTGAATTTCTTCTCAATATGTTCACACCGACATCTGCGTCACACGGATACGTTTGGACACCTCCATATCTCTAATTCTCTGTCCCATATATGTGGTCCCATATATGTGCCTCTGCATACAAAATTTGGTTACGAAAGGGACTTCTTATCACAGGGACCATAGATCATTTCATAAAAAATAATAGAGAGTAATTCAAAAATCTCTTTTTATTTTTAAAATTTAAAATAGTGTCATATATTTTAAGGTGTGGTTTCTATAAGGTTGCAACCTTAAACAATCCAATTAAGGTGCACCTTCAAACTTTATCATAGTATGTATTATTTGTGTTTAAAATTCATAAGATTATCTGAAAATCTATTTTTATATCTAATTATAAAATTTTAAACTCTAAAAATGGTTCAAATCAAGTAGATCTATAAACATGTGAAAATCTTAAAAATAGACGGTCTAGATAATGTGTTGCAAGATGCACTATTTTTGGGGACTCAAAATCTTTTTTTTTTCCATATTCATACATCTTGATGTCGAGATGATCATTTAGAGGGTTTTTCAACATTAAAAGAACCTTTTCCGATGGAGTTTTGAGGTGCATCTGTAGTTCTACATTTTAAGGTTGCAACCGTATATAAACTTTTTATTTTTTAAATTTAAGTCACGGTTTTTATATCAATACTTCTCACCATAATATACTTGCAAAAAACATAATAAAAAATAAGGAGAAAGTTTATATAAGGTTGCAAAAAATACGGATGCATCCGTAGGTGTAGAGGTAACGTCCACCTTCAAATTTCATCATGGTATATAATTTTGATGTAAAACGTTCTTAGGATTATCTTAAAATCTATTTTTATATCTAATTATAAAATTTTAAATTTAAAAAATGGTTAAAATCAAGTAGATCTATAAACATATGAAAAACTTGAAAATGGATGGTGTAGATAATATGTTGTAAAATGCACTATTTTTGAGACTTAAAATCTTTTTATTTTTCGTAGTCATACATCTCGATGTCAAGATGATCAATCAAGGGTTTTTTAACATTAAAACTACCTTTTCTGATGGATTTTTGAGGGGCATTTGTAGTTCTACATTATAGAGGGGCATTTGTAGTTCTACATTATAAGGTAGCATCCTTATAAACTTTTTCTTTATAGATACTTAATTTGAATCATTTTTAAAGTTTAAAATTTTATAATTAGGGTTAAAAATAGAATTTCATGCTATTCTAAGAATTTTTTACACCAAAATTATATCTTATGATGGAATTTAGAGGTGCACCTTATTGTAATTGTTTAAGGTTGCAACCTTCTGTAAACTACACCCAAAATATCAAGGGTGTGGTTTCTATAAGGTTGAAATCTTATACAATCCAATTAAGGCACACCTCCAAATTTTATTATAACATGTAATTTTGCTGTAAAAATTCTTTAGGTTTATCTCAAAATTTATTTTTATATCTAATTGTAAAATTTTAAACTCAAAAAATAGTTAAAATCAAGTAGGTCTATAAATATATGAAAACCTTGAAAATAGGCAGTCTAGATAATGTGTTACAAGATATACTATTTTTGGGATTCAATTTTTTTTTTTTTTTTCATATTCATACATCTCGATGTTGAGATGATCAATTAGAGGGTTTTTTAACATTAAAACAACCTTTTCCGATAAAGTTTTGAGGTGCATACGTAATTTTACATTTTAAGGTTGCAACCTTATATAAAAATTTTCTAAATATTAATGTATATAAGTACAAAGAACACAATGAAATCCTCCATTTTCCTTTTTAATAGGCAAATGGGATGGACGGTGGATACCCCTTGGTATTGACCGACCATATAAACCATGTTTATTCTTGTAAATAATCCCATCTTCCACCCTTTTATATCTCATCTTCCTTCTTGTTCGTTATTAATCTCCCTTACTCGAGACAAAATAATACTCTTTAAATATGGAAAAAAAAAATTATATAAAGGGAAAAGTTAATATAAAGTATCAGTCTTGTGCTAATGAAACCTTTATACTATTTAATTAAGTTGCAGATCAAAAATCCTCTAGAAGAGTGTGCTTTAATGTTGGAAAAATTTCCAATTTATTCATCTCAACCTCATGATGTATGGATATGAAGACAAAAAATAATTTCAACTCCTAAAAATAGTGTATATAGATATACTTGTTTTTCACTATTTTTAGAATTTGAAATTTATAAGTAGGAATTTTATTGTCAAAAAAGAAAAAGAAAAGTAGGAATAAAAATAAATTTTAAAGCATCTAAGGTTTCTAGAACTCCACTCCATACCAAAATTTAGAGTTGGGTCTTACTTCAATTTAATCATCTTAACCGAGACATTATAGATCTGGAAAAAAGAAAAGAAAAGAAACAGACTGTGAGAGAGAGAGCTCCTCTTAATTTACAAGATTACACTGTACGTCCTAAATGGATTGGCTTACAAAACCACCACCTCTCGTTCCATAAAATTAACACCTCCTTGAAAAATAGAAAGAAAAACTAAGCAATAAATTTCCCGTAATCCACAGAATGCAAAGAACCGGGGCTGACTACAGGAAAATTACTCCAAGAGCCCACCATCGACGGCTGAGACTCAAAACTAATCATCTCAGACCTGCTGTAAAAGTCATCCCGCGTCGGATTCCCTCCAAAACCTTCCGGAAGATCCATCACACCCCACTCCATATTACCGAATTCCGGGGCCTGTAGTTGCTTCTCCGGCGAGAAAAAAGAAGATAGGGGGCCACCTGAAAATTGATCAAGGGAAGGTGCGTGCCCGGAAAATGATTTTCTGGCGACGTTTCCAGGCGATTTTGGGTTGGCTCCTGTAAGTGTCTGGACAAGGTGGCGGAAACCAATTGGGTCCACGTTGTACACTTTGGCGGGAGGAGGGGTCGTTTTCCGGCCTAGTTTGGCTGGACCTTTTTTGACGTAGTTCGGAAACGCTCTCTTCTCTTCATTTTTTGCGATCGAATCCATCGAAATCCGCCGAGTTTTGGCCGGGATTTTAAGTGGGAAGAGAGGCGTGTTTTCTTTCGAATCTGAGTGCAGTTGGTGGGCTTTATAACCATTGGGTTTTGGAAATGATCCCTATGTTTTAGGAAATTGCTGGAGTAACCTTAATGCCCCATTCCTCGTTCTTTACGTGTGAACTCGATCGGGTATTTAAGTTTCTGATTTTGAAGTCAACTATAGTGTTCCACAACCCTGCAGGGTTGATGGAAACCGGGCCGGGTTACTCGGAACCAGCAATTTGCTGTGGCCAGTTAGCTTAACCACCCTAATTTAACAAGAAAATTTCAAAAAAATTAGAATTTTTTTTTAAAAAATAAGAATTTGGTTAGTAATAGGTTTTTTATGGTTTTGAAAAATTGGGAAGTATTTTGGAAATGAATGCTTATGTTTACTCTTTTTTTTCAATATTTTTTAGATTATTTCTAAAATACCCTTGGGGACAATTGTTTAAATTCCATTTTTCACTTATTTTTTAATCTCATTTCAATGTATTTATTTAATTATATTTGAAATATACTTTTTAGAATTTTTTCATATTTTTATTTTATATTTTGTTTAGCCCTAGATCTGGTTACCCATATTGGATCTGGGTTACTCGGACCAGGTCAATAACCGGGTTCTGACACCGGTTCGTGCAATCCAAGAGTGTACTATGTGTGTGTTGTATGTTTTCTTAAATGCGGAGAAAATCCCTCATATTTTATTTGGGCCTATCATCAATATAACCTAAGGGGGATTAAAGTGGGAAGCAAAGTGATTCTATGAAGACAAACTTTTGATGTAGACTTGAAATTCTACCTCGGAAACACATGCATTGAAAATATATCTTTTTTAATTTATAAAGAGGATCTCTAGGGTCTACCCGTTTTTCCAGATCGATCTTGTTTTCAATCACAATGATACTGCGTGACTTCTTGAAATCATCCCTCTTGTAGAAGAAGAAAAACTTAAAGCATTGTTTATCTCCTAGAAAGTGATTCAAACCCGGATCAATGGATGGATCGTCCACCTACGTATCCATGTCGTATTGTGGAATCACCAATCAAGATTGGTTTGAATTAGGGATCCAAAAAGTTATTCAAAAATAAACAAGTGAAAAAGGCCAATAACCATGTCTTCCCAAAACTAGTTTGATCCCAGCTGCTTTTCGATCCTTATCGGTGGGTTTTGAAACACTGCTCCATGCGAAACAAGCCACATTTGTTTGCTCAAAAACCAGTATTTCCTGAGCAAATAAGTTTACACTAACCAATCCTCCCCTTTAGCAAACATTAAAAGAAAAATTTTATATAAGACCTTTAAATATAGAATTAAATATACACCTCGAAAATCCATTGGAAAAAGTGGTTTTAATGTTGAAAAACCCTCTAATCGATCATCTCGACGTCGAGATGTATGAATATGAAAAAAAACAAATAAATAAATAAATAAGATTTTGAATGCCAAAAATAATGCATCTTGCAACACATTATCTAGACCATTCATTTTCAAGATATTCATATGAAACCATTTTGGAAGTTTCAAATTTTATAATTAGATGTGAAAATAGATTCTTAGATAATTTAAAAAAAAAATTACACCGGTAATTACATGTTATGATAAGATTTAGAGCTCCACCGATTGTTCAAGGTTGCAACCTTATAAAAAAGGGTGCGGTTTGTATAGAGCCGAGAATCCAAACAATCAAAATTGAGCCTACCTTCAAATAGTGTCAAGAACTATGGTTTCAATGCTAGAAAATTTTGTGATAGCTTTAAATTATATTTTCATCTTTAGTTATAAAATTTAAAGCTTCAAAAATAATTTAGATCGATCAGATCTATGAAAACTTGAAAATCTTAAAAATTGACAGTCAAAAAACGCGTTACAAGATGCACTATTTCCAAAACTTGAAATTCATTTTTTTCTCATGTCCATGCATCTTGATGTCGAGATGATCAATTTGATGATATTCGGGCATCAAAACAAACTCTTCTAGTGAATGTTTTGATGTATACTCTAATTTGATTGTTTAGAGCCTAGGCTGTATAAATACTTTTCCCTATGAAATCTACTTCGAGATAGGTCGCAAATAGGGTCCAAGATATTGCAATCCGGTGATGAGAGATCCCCAACGATCCGACCGTGGAATTATCAAAGGGTGCAAACGTGAAGAAAGGGATGTGAGGGCATTTTGGTAATTGTTTGAAAGTAGGGACCACCACTCATGTGCAAGAAGACGTCATTTGGAGCACTTGACTGATATGAATTGTTTCCTTCCAGGCGGCCGCCGAGGACGAATTGTTGATCACGTGGCAACTTTAGTCAAACTAGCTGCTTTGACCAGGGGGTTTATAGGGATAAAATGGTAATTTACCCCCCAATTGGAAGGACAAATCCGTAATTAAGGCGCTGTGGCACGTCGTTCGGAAGGGACAAGCCCACGCCTTTCGCTGAGTCCAAATAAAAATTGGTTTAGGAATGGCTTTTTATTGGGGTGATTAGTTATTGCTAATGTTATTTATAGGCATGATTATGGTGTTTGCTAATGTTGATTAATGGTTTATTGAGAGAACTTGGTAGGTGCCTCTCGCACTTGGCTTGCCTTCACTCCCACGACACTAGTGAAACCTACTATTTTATATTTCTTTTATCCTTTTTCTAATTTCTCAAGTAGAAGTGATTTTAAAAAACAAGAAACGGGCTTGTCATACAATCACCGGGTCCGACTCGAAATCAATCACACTATGCCGATTCTATCAATACTTATTCACCAATTCAAACTAGTTTTTGGTTCATTGTTTTTGCACGTGTTTTATCCAGTTCACTAATTTTTTTGAACAGTACAACAACGATCTGGACTGCAGATTCACTTATCCAAACCATTTTTTGTGATGCCCGCCATCCATTTTTTAAATCACTGTTTAATGGTATCCATATATTTGACTAAGAACATAGTAGTTGTTAGTCTAAGCAATGCATGCCCTAGTCAATCAAGTTTCATGCTTCTCTCAATTTTTATTGTTTTAAATCGAGGTGGTTTACTTGAAATCGTTGTCGAAAATGCGGTTCTAGTACTGGGAACTTTGTGAAGGGCTTGGGCTTGAGTTGTCAGCGCTATATCTCAAGTTTGATTCGTATCACTAAACTTTAAAAAAAACTTAATTAGGCGTGTATGTATATTTTTGTATTTTCTTCGAGAATTAAAGCACCAAAAATTGCTATTTTTGCCTGACTAAAGGCTTCAGCTCTTCTTCTTTTTTTTCTATTCTATTTTTTTTATATTTGTGTCTGCTAAGCTTGAAATCCATAGAAAAGAGCTGAAGTTGCGGTGGTATTACATCCCATATCTCAGCTACATGTTGTTGCTTCCATTCGCACTGAATGCATAAAAAACCATGAACTAATTTAAAACTTGGTACGAGCATGTCATCTCCACGGAATTACTTAAAATAAAAAATTAAAAATTAAAAAAAAGCTTGAAATTCATTTTTTTTCATAAATATCATTGCTAAGGTGAGACGATTGATTTGCAAAGTTTTTAGTGTTGACACTATTTTTTGTCAAGATTTGAGGTGTGACTTTATAACCCTACAAAACACTTCCCCCTTTAATTGTGCACAAAGTAATTCTAAATAATAACGGTTTTTAATTAAGATAGAAATAAAAAGTGTTATAATCCTTTCCTAAAATAAAAAGTGTTATTATCCTTATTTCCAAAAAACCTAAATCCAGATAATCGAAAATAAATAAATCTAGTAAACGGGACTTATCCAAAATTATAATTCAAGCATTGGAAAACCTTTACATCCATCATCTCGACTTGAACATTATGGTTGTGAAAAAATTTAGGATTTTTAGTTCTAAAATGTATATATTGTAACAAATTATCTAGACCGTCCATTTCGCCCTAAAAACAAGTGTCCATTTTTTTAGTTTTAAATTTCATTGTCAATGTTGGGAATCAATTTTAGAGCCATCACAGAGATTTCTGTCGTTGAAAATACTTTCCAGACGACGATTTGAGTTGAGGCTTCTTCTTTTTTCTTTTCATAAAACCTAAGTCTTATAGAACCTCATCCTTAAAAGTCGCATATTTTATAATAATTTTCCTATGGAAAACTCTAGCAAAATAAAACTCAACTTACATCATATGGTATTACCCCACTGCGGTACATAAAAAGAGGAACGAATGATGCTCCAAAATTTCTACAGTAATGAAAACTAATCTACATCCTTTTTTTATAGATGTGGGAGCTATTTCCACAAGTTATATTTCCAATAATTTGAAAAATAGAAGGGTATGTTTAAGATTCCCTTTTTAAATTCACATAAATTTAAATGACATTTGCGACAAGGCATGACACTTTTTTTTATAGATAATAAGGTCTAGAATTATAATTCCACGAATTTCGATTTTTGAGATATGTGAGTTGTATGCCCTAGGGTATATATCCTGTTTGGATTTAAAAAGTATATAGAATTTTTAGAAAATAAAATTTCAACATTTTGTACTAAAAATTTTATTTGTGATTAAAAGAGGATTTCTAAATACTAGATCTCAAAAATAGTCGTCGATTTTTTTATGGAGTAGTTCAATAGTATGCTCTCCTAGGAGCATGCTAAACAAATTTCCAAAGAAAAAAACTACAGCATTGCGGCAAAAATATATAAAAAGTACACATACAACTATCAAGTGAGTTTGTTTCCCTCCGGTATATTTTATTTGGAGTGAAATATTGGTGCTAATGGAATTCATTTGTCATTAAAAGTGGATTTCTAAATATTAGATCTCAAAAATACTTATGAATATCTTATAGAATAATTGTATAATATGCTCTCACAATAGCATGTTATACAAATTTTCAAGATAAAAAAAATTATGGGATCGTAAACAATGAGACTATTTATTTTTGGTACAAAGAGACCACAATTATTCATAACTATCCAATGTGAAATCTGATAGCTTAAGTGTATCACAAAGTTCGCAAAAAAAAAATTTGAACTTTGAGTTTGGTCAATGAAATAAATATAACCACCCAATTTCACATCCAATGGTCAAGATTAATTGTGAGCACCTTGTACCGAAAGTAAATAGTCTCATTTTACAATTTTCTAAAAAGTATGGGATTGTATACAATGAGATTATTTATTTTTGGTACAAGAAGTTCACAATTACTTATAATCATCCAATGTGAAATATGATAACTTGAGCGTGTTACAATGTTCGAGAAAATTTCTTTTGAACTTTGAGTTTGGTCAATGAAATAAATGCAACCACCCAATTTCGCATCCAATGGTCAAAGATTAATTGTGAGCACCTTGTACCAAAAGTAAATGATTTCATTTTACACTTTCCCAAAGAATATGGGATTGTATACAATGAGACCATTTATCTTTGGTATAAGGAGGTTACTATTACTTATAACCATCCAATGATAACTTGAGTGTATCACAAAGTTTGAGAAAATTTCTTTTGAACTTTGAGTTTGGTCAATGAAATAAATGCAACCACCCAATTTCACATCCAATGGTCAAGATTAATTGTGAGCAACTTGTACCAAAAGTAAATAGTCTCATTTTACAGTTTCTTGAAAAGTATAGCATTCATTGATGTATGCGGCGAAAGTAACAATTATTACTTTAGAATTTTACAAAATGGCCATCTTCTTTAAAAAATGATAATTGAGTCCTTTATTTATTTAATAACAAGCATCACTACTTAAAAAGGAGTATGTAATAAAAAATAGTTTATATTATAGAACGAAAAATTATATCCAATTTAGTAAGTTTTTACACATAGTATTTCCTAATGTTTATTTAAAAATTTATACAAAAGGTACAATTTATTTTCAAATATAAATATATTTAGAATAATTTGTTATACAAGTAGAGTTTTAAAAAATCAAATTTAAAAAATCTATAGATAACTATAAACACGTTTAAATTGATAATTATTGCTTATAACTACAATTCAAAATAATTACGCTTTTTATACCTATTTTGGATTATACTTATTTAATATTTTTAACTTATAATTATAGTACAAAATAGGTATAATGCAAAATAAGTATAAATAAAATTTATAAAGTATATTTATATTAAAAAAATGGGGAGAGAGAGAGAGAGAACAGAAACGTAAGAGCAACAAAGAGAGGAAGAGAAAATTAAGAGAGAGGAAGAGAAAATCAGGGGAAGAGGGAGAGGGAGCTTGAGAATGTGTGTGTGCGTGTGTTGGGGGGGAAGGAGGGGAAGAAAATAGAGATTCGGTCGGATTACCAAAAAAATGGAGTTAATGTACTTGAATGCATGCATGTAGGTACGTTTTGGGGGAATGTGGAGTTGGTAATTTTTCAATCAAATTCCTTGGAATGCCTCTGATTAACAGTAATAGGCTTATTGCTTTTTGGGACCATCTTATTCAAAGAATACAATACAAATTGGACTATGGAAGACTAAACCTCTTTCTTTGTGGGGAATTGCTGTTAATTAAGAAATCATTGACTAATCTTCTAATTTACTATGTCCCTTTTTCAATTGCTGAATGATGTTGTAAGGAAGTTAGAAAAGCTTATGAGATGATTCTTGTGGAGCGGAAGTGATGATAAGATCTTCCATATGACTCTTCCTTTTTTGTCAACACCTTCGAGCATCCATTGAGCAAAAAATCCCATCAGCCTGTATAGAAATGGAAGATTGTGTACTCGATCAATCAAAACACCATTGCCACACTTTCCTTGCAAAAATACATGGAAAGGACAAATGATCTATTATTTCTTCATCCCATTTACACATTAAACATTTGTTTGGCAAGATTTTACCTTTTTTATCAATAAATCAACTGTTAAAATCTTGTTCAAAACCAAGAGCCATACAAAAACCCTTACTTTCATGATAATGGCAGTCTCCATATCCTTGACATAGTAGGATCTCTCCACCTGTTATGATCATAAAACAATATTTATAAGCAGACCCCACAATGAAAGTTCATTTTTTACTCAAGCTCTCATATAATTTTTTCTTCCAATTCTGTCGAGGGATAATGAGATGGGTAGTAAAATGGGCTCACGCTACCCTAGACCTTAAGAGCTATCTCATAGAGTTCTTTTCTTCTACTATCCCAAATAGTTGCTTTCTTCTAATTTCTATGAACTACTCTCCTTCGACCCAAGAAAGCAACGACTTGGTAGAAGGCAAAGGATCCAACTGCTCCTGACAGATTTGATTAGAGGGTTAAGAGATTGATTATGTCACACAATAACATTTATTGTCCCTCATGCAACAACTTCACAACTTTGTCTACATTCCTGATTGGTGGGATGCCTTGATTTAGGAACTTAGCCCCATGTGGATCCTTCTCTATCAATTATCTCTACTAAGAGGTTTCTAATGACTGAATCATTGAGAGTAGTAACATGAATGCAAAAGTGTGGTCAGTTAAAGCCCCTAAAAGAGTTAGATTGTTTCTGTGGCTCCTGGAAGAAGACCACATTTCATCTAGGGATCAATTGAGGAAGAGAGGTAAAATTTTGGTTGATGTCTGTATCCTTTGCAAATAAGATGCAGAGGACAGTAGTCATTAGTGTTGAAATTTTGAGGGGAAGAGATGAATTTGCCAAAGTCCCAAGAATCAAAGGCAATGTCGTAAGACTGTGGATCGTAAAGATTAAATTTTACCAGAATAATTGAGAACTATGTGTTTTCTCTTCGTTCATCTCTATAGCTATGAAACCCTTCTTAAAGAGGGATGGGAGAGGGTCATTCGACTTTCCTCCTGCAATCTCTAAGAAACGTGGCCCTCTTTTCCTAGGATGTGGGTAGTTATCTTCTACCCATTGGATGAAGGGATATTCTTTCTCTATGAAGCCCTGTTTTAATGATAAATATTAAAATATATGATAAAGATAAAGAGAGAGAAATATAACATGTTTGAGGGCCACATGGCCATCCATATGTACCAACATATCCCACTTGGCCATAAGGGCCAGATATATTGAAATAATATCATTTAGTGGGTTTAACATTTATGAGTATATCATTATCATGAGGCTTTTCACGCTATTGCTGTTATACATCTCATAAAAACAAATCCAAAGCCATGTCATGGGGTTTTTCACGTTAATGCGGCTTTTCTTCTCATGACTGTGACATAAAAAAAAAATCTCATTTGGGAGTTCCTGATTTAAATATTTCTGCACTCAATTCCTTGGTTAAAGGTTCTACAATCATATCTGAAGGTACAGTTATTTTATTCTTTTCAATAATATTATAAATGTAATGATAATCAATTTCAATGTGCATACCATTAGAACTATAGGCTCCATTTCTAATTGATGAGATGACAACTTGATTATTACAAAAAAATTAATAGGTCCGTCAGCTATATCCAGCTTCAAATCATTTATGAAGCGTTTAATCTAGACGGCATATGTTGTAGCAATATACTCGGCTTCCATAGTACATCGGGTTATACAACCTTGTTTCTTGCTAGATCAAGAAATACATCCACCTTCAAAGAGAATACAAGTCCTGAGGTTGATTTTTTATCATCTGGGTCTCCTGCAAAATCTGCAGCATAGTACCCAGTAACCTCTAAATTATCCATTTAGAAACACAACTTGTAATTTTTAATTTTTTTAATATATCTGAGTATCATTTTTACGGCTTACCAATAAGCCATCCTAGGATTACTCTGAAATATACTCACAAGACCATATGCATGACTCAAATCAGGTCTTGTACACAACATGACATAATTTATACATGTTATAGCTTGATCATATGGAATTCTTTCCCTTTCAGCTTTATCACTATCATTTAATGGATATACTTTCTTTGATAATTTCAAGCCTTACAAACGGGTGTATTTATGGGCTTGCAATTTTTCATTTTAAATCTCTTTAAAATATTTTCTAAATAATTTTCTTGAGATAAACATAGAAATCTCGAACTTCTATCTCTTACTATCTTAATGCCAAATATATATGAGGCTTCTTCTATATCTTTCATCTCAAAATGGGAACTTGGCCATGATTTGGTATGGTTAATCATGCCAATGTCATTAACGGCTATCAAAATATCATCTACATACAGTGATAATATAACAAAGTTGCTCCCACTATTCCAGACATATACACAATGATCTAACCTGTTGGCTACATAATCAATTTTAGTGATAGCATTATGAAAAGTAAAGTATCACTGCCTAGAAGACTGTTTTAGGCCATATAAAGATTTTTTAAGTTTGTATATTTTGCCTTCTTGGCCTTTAATTACATATCATTCTGGTTGTGTCATATATATATATATATATATATATATATTTATAATTTTAATTCTCCATTTAAAAAAGTTGTTTTGACATCTATCTAGAATAATTATAGATCATAATATGCAACTAATGCTAGGATGATCCTAATAGATGAAAATTTGGCTACTGGAGAATAAGTTTCTACATATCCCTTTGGGTAAATTCTTTAGCTATCAACCTAGTTTTATATTTATCAATGGATCCATTTGCATTAAGCTTTTTCTTTAAGATCCATTTGTAACCAATGACTTTTCTATCTTTAGGGAGGTTAACCAACTCCCAAACTTGATTTCTTTTAATAAAATCAAGTTCATCATTCATGGTTTGAGTCCACTCAGATGAGTCATGTGAGCTAATAGCTTCACTATAGCTTCGAGGTTCATCTATTGAATCCTCACTCATTGAAGAATAATTATTTTCATTCATAAATATATAAAATTCTTTTAGAGTCGTAGATGAGGCTTTGGTTTTTTTAGGCCTATCTGGTATATTTGATTCAATTGAATCATTCTCACCAATTGTAGAGGGAGACTGTGAAATAGGGTCTTGGAGACCTTTATCTTTATCAATTTTGTGTAAGTCAATAGGCTTACTTAAAATATTTTCATCATCTATATTTTCTAAAAAATGAGTATCACGACTCTCTATTAATGATCTAGTATCATGGTCATAGAATCTATAGCCCTTAGAATTTTCTGTAAAACATATAAAAGAGCATTTTATAGTTTTACTTTATAATTTATCTCTATTTTATGGTGGTATAAGCACATATGCCCAATAACCCTAAACTTTCAATATAGTAAGGTCAGGTTTCTTACATGTCCATAATTCATATAAGGTCAAGTTTATAGATTTAGTTAGAATACGATTAATAATACACATTGTAGTGTTGAGTGCCTCACCCCAAAAATGAGGTGATAAATTTGAATTGCTCATCATCGACCTAACCATGTCCATTAGAGCTCTATTTCTTCTTTCAGCTATACCATTTTGTTATGGTGTATATGGCATGATTGTTTGGTGAATTATACCATGCCCTTACAGCATTCGGTAAATAAGATGGAGCAATATTCACTTCCCCTATCTGTTCAAAGAATTTTAATATGCTTGCCTAACTAATTTTCTACCTCACCTTTATATTTTTAAAATGTTTCTAATGCATCTGATTTTTTACTAATTAGGTATATATATCCATAAATCATTTATAAATGTTATGAAATATTTCATATATCTATGTGTTTTTTTTTACATTTAATGGGCCACATATATCAGAGTGAACAATACTAAGTAGCTCACTAGATCTTCCCCTTTTGGGCAATGTTTCATAGTTAATTTACCAGAAATACATGGCTCGTATGTTTTGAACACAATTTCTCTTAGATTGGGGAGCAAGCATCTTTTAACCATGTAATTCATTTTGTCTTTATTTATATGTCACAATCTTAAGTGCCATAAATATGAATCATCCACACACACAAAATCATCAAAAGAGGCATCATAATAATCAGAAACAGATGAACTTTCACTAATATTTAGTCGGTACAAATTGTCAACTTTAGTACTATACACCAAAGCTCTAGAATGCTTCCCAATAGTTACCCGACCAGACCTAAACCTTATTTCATAACCATTATCATCTAACATAGGAACATAAATCAAATCGCGTCTTATATTGGACACATACAAAGTATCAGTCAATAGGAGATTTGTTCCTACTGGTAAATAGAGCTTGAAAGTAGTGACACCAAATACATCATCGTAGGTGTCATTTCCCATATAAATCCGCTGGTTACCTGCTGCAATCTCCTTCAACTCTATGAATTCATCCTTAATTCTCGAGACATGTCGAATGAAGGCTAAGTCAACCACCAATTTCTCAGGTCATGGTCGGTAACTATTGATTCTATAACTACGTAGATCAAGTCATTTCTTTTATTTTGATTATTTCGAGTGTTGTTGTTATTCTAGTTCTTATTTTTATTTTTCAGCTTAGGACAATTAAACTTGATGTGCCCAATTTTCTACAATAAAAACAGGTCTTCTCAACCTTATTCTTTTGGTTTTTAAAAATTCTCTCATTTCCCTTATACTTACTATTATTCTGATTATTGTAAGGTTTCTTGGGAATCTGAGAATATCAACTTTAAGCAAAGTGGAGCTCATTTAACTTCATTCTCATTCTTTTCTCAGCTTCAATACTGATGTGCATGGGAAGATTCAACATAGTTATCGCTTGTGCAGAGGTTCAATGCAATTACAACAGGCTCTCAAGATGGAGGGAGACTGTTAAGGGCAATAAATACATGCATACGGTCAGGAGTTGGATTCTCAACTGCAACAATGTCCTTTACGAGCACTGTCATTTTATTGACATACTCGATCACTGAGTACTATTCTTTCATTCTGCAATAATTATATTTTTCTAATAATAATTACGCATGAGTCTCATAAGTGGTCTCATACTTTTCAGATAAGGCACCCATCATACTTTGAGTTATAGTGTGGTCCTCAAAGACTATAATTTAAATCATCATCCCTAAAACTCAACATAGTAGTCGTAGCTACTTTGTTATATTCTAATCATTTTTCAAGTCGTCTTCTAGCTTGACCATTCGCATTAGACTCTAAAATTGGTGGTTTTGTATCTAGAACATATTCCAAAGAGAATATATCAAATTTTTCATTTCCACATAGAAAACTTGGTTTCATTGAGTTTTTCAAGTTTTGATAGTTCTAACAAGACTAGCCTAGATGCCATTTTAACTATTAAATTATACCTAAAGGTTCAAAAAATTCAATTGTGTTTAAGAACATGGTTGTCTGTTAGTCAAATCAATAGGTTGTTGATTCTTAATGAGCTGTAACCTGAAGAATTTTTTTTGAACAGTTGATGTTTGCACTGTTGTGATGCAGTAAACTAAAAAAATAAGGCAACAAAACTATTTTATGCAATTCTTGTATAAGAATAATTTTCATAAATATATGAATATGTTTTAGCACATGAGAGAGAGTCTACAATGATATTTAATATTCTCAATAAAAAAAATGGCATAACATAATCACAAAAATTGAGTTCACTAAAACAAGATCATGAAAATTTCTCACTTAAAGAGACCAAAGCATAGGATAATTATGTAAGGCAGTGACAATTACGATGCTAATAAAATATGTAGAAAATCCCCAAATTATAAACCACAAAAAATGCACGTAATTGATATGTCAACCTTTACTCGAATAGTTGTTGTGTGCATAACAATTTGCAATAATCCAATAAAAATATACATTAATTTTCAACAACAAAAAAAGGAAGAAGAAAGATGCAAGCCGACTGATTTTCAGCAGTCCATGGTCAATAAAGAGTATATAACAGTAAGGAAATTTATGTCATATCCAACTTTTCAAGTAGGGAAAAACACTATCAAGGATCATAGTTATAACAACTGATGGTAAGGCAAACAAGAAAACATGCAAAAACTTGTTGGATATTTAGATTCTCATTACCAAAGAAAAGCAAGCATGTGTACTCAGCTACTGTACATAGAGTAGAAGAATTTAGGCAGTCTTTACAATTTTTTTTTAGTTGCTGATTTTCGACAGCAGTTATGTGTCTCTTTGTTTCTCTCTAAAATTTTAGCAATATCTCTATTTCTGGCTCTCTAAAATTACAACAGTTTCCAAGATTTCTAAAATTACAGCAGCTTCCAATAGAGAAATTTAGAGAGAAGACGTTAGAGTTTTGGATTGGTTCAATGTTTTTCTTTCTCCTTTCAATACTGATGATTTCGTTGAAAGGAAATTATGTATAAATCCAATACATAATAAACAAACTACAAAAAAGAAGATAAGCACAAAACATCTTACAGAGAGAATGTTGATAATTACGTTTAAAGGGAATTATGCATATATCCAATGCATAATAAACAAACTACAAAAAGGAAGATAAGCACAAAATATCTTAGAGAGAGAATACTGATAATTTTATTAAAAGGGAATTATATATATCCAATGCATAACAAATAAACTATATAAAAAAAAAGATAAGCAGAGAATATCTTAGACAGAATAGGGTTTCTTTGAGAAGCCTTAAATTTGCTAGGAGGGTTACGTGTTCACCTATTTAGGTTTAAGAAGTTAACAGAAGAAAAGATCATGAAAGAGAAAAAGAAAATGAAGTTCAAAATTTCAAACTATTAAATTCAAGGTTAAAAAAAATTTATAACAAGATATACAGGAATGACAAAGCACAATATCAAAGTTACTGTAAATTAAACTCAAAAAAAGTAAGATATAAACACCAACAAAATTGAAAGATAGAACCTGGGAACGTCTAGATTATGGGTCCACCATGCCTCTACAACCTTACTCTGATGCCAATGTTGAAATTTTGAGGGGAAGAGATGAACCCGCCAACGTCCTAAGAATCAAAGGCAATGTTGTAAAACTGTGGATAGCAGAAATCAGGTTTTACCAGCACAATTGAAAACTTTGTATTCATCTCGATAGCCATGAAACCCTTATTAAAGAAAAATAGGAGGAGCCGTTCTCCACGTTTGACTTTCTTTTTGAAATCTCTAAGAAACATGTGGCTCTCTTTTCTTAGGAGGTGGGTAGTTATCTTTTACCTTTTGGATAAAGGGATATTCTCTCTCTATCAAAACCTTTTTTATTGATAAATATTAAAATATATGGTAAAGATAAAGAGGGAGAAATATGGCATATTTGAGAGCCCCATAACTACCCATACGTACCAACAATTTGTTTCTCCATAGTCCCTTTGTGACTCCCTTCTAGAATTGGGTTGCTTGTATCTCTAATTGGAAGTGGATTATGCCAACGAACATGTAGCAGTTCTTTGCTCTTTTATTCTTCACCCCATTCACTTTGAATGGCATTCACCTCTGGCATCTTTTAGTAGCAGCTTTGTTGTCGTCACTTTGGAAGGAACACAATCCCAGGATCTTCGAGGGGATCTCTCATAACTTTGTTGATATCTGTCGAGGGGTAATCAGATGGTCAGTAAAATGGGCTCACGCCACCCTAGACTTTTAAGAGCTGTCGCAAAGAATTCTTTTCTTCCATCCCAAGGGTTGTTTTTTTCTAATTTCTATGAACTACGCTCCCTTTGGCTCAAGAAGACAATGAAATCTTCTCTACAGTTGCCCCACACCCCCCCAGTTAGTTGGCTCAAACCGAATTTTGAGTTGCTTAGGAAGCAGGATTTGGAGGCACTATCAAGAATGCGCAGAGTGACGTTATCTTTACCTACAACAGCCAACTAAACTTTTGCGACATCACTGAGGCTGAGTTGAGAGCAGTTAGAGGAGTCTTAAAGCTCCAGGATTCTCACAACAAAATAATTATTGAAGGTAACTCAGCTAATGTCATTAACGGGTGCACCCTTCCTCACTTGACCCCTTGGCAATGGACTTTCGTTGTGGACGAGATTTAGCTAGCCATCCTTGGAGAAGAGGACCATTTCTGCCCTTTAAATAGAAAGAAGAATGGCGACGCTGATTATCAAGTTGGGCTTTCTTCTTAGACTTTCCCCCCCCTCTTTTCTACCTCCTACCTCTTCTATTTTGCTTTTCTCTTGTTTTTGCGTTGTTACTCTTTATTGTAACACCATTTGTACTTCGGAGCTCATGCTCCTTTTTAATGATGGTTTTTGAGAGCCTCACACTTATATAAAATATTTCAAAAGTAAATTTAGAGAAATCTATTAAAACAATGGAAAATTATAGATACTTTTCAAATTCAACTTTCTAGACATCTTACTCCCTCAAAATTTTTTATGTCACACTCTAAACCTCAATACTATTTTTTTTTATATTTATCCCCCAATTAAAAAGTCATTAATTTAAAACAAAAACGTTCTTACTTTTTCTTTTCTCCCCCTTTTGGAGTCAAGTGACTCTATCTCTCTAACCACATACACTCTCTCTCTCCTCGGATCGAAAATTTTTTCGTTTCGGTTCAACACTTATTGTGCCAAATCGCGTTGAGTTTCAGTAATGTGGCTGGACCGGGTAGATTTGAGTTAAATGTTGGACCCAATTTTTGTTTTGCGGTCTGGCGCTTTTTTGTGTCGGACTGTATTACTAGAGAATGTGAGAGAGAGAGAAAGAGAGGATATGGCTTCTTAAAGAGAGAGAATGAGAGAGAAAAAAAAGAGGTTATGAGTTTTACTTTGGGAGAGAGAGAGTGAGGGTGGAGAGAGAAAGAGTTAGGTGACTTCAAAAGGGAGAGTAGAGAAAAAGTAGAAAGGGGGGCGGGCTTAAAACAACCCATTAAACCACCAAAAACCCCTAGCCAGCACTTAGAACCAACCACTAGGGGGCTATGTGGGACTAGTGGCCGGAAAGTGGTGTCCGCCCACATAGAGCCATACTGGCGACACATACCACGAAATTGGCAGATGGATGGCCCAGATTAGATTGTCATATGAGGGATGAAATTTATGGGCTTCCTACACCATTTATACCCACTTGTTCAAATCATTTTCCAGTTTAGAAAGATTTCGGTTGTTATCCTAGTTTGCCTCTTCCACTACTTAAAGCATAAAAAACTTAGTACTCAAAAACCTAATCCTAAGCTCTAAGAGCCTTGAACATCTCAGACTTTAATGATTTAATCCATACATATAAGAAAGGAAAAAGTTTATACAAAGTTGCAACCTTAAATGTAGAATTAAAGATGCACATAAAAAATCCATTAGAAAAAGTTGTTTTAATGTTGAAAAACCATCTAATTGATCATCTCGATATCGAGTTGTAAGAATATGAAAAACCATAATCCTAAGCTCTAAGAGCCTTGAAAATCTCAGACTTTAATGATATAATCCATACATATAAGAAAGAAAAAGTTTATATAAAGTTGCAACCTTAAATGTAGAATTAAAGATGCACATAAAAAATCCATCAAAAAAAGTTGTTTTAATGTTGAAAAACCATCTAATTGATCATCTCGATATCGAGTTGTATGAATATGACAAAAAGATAGAAGATTTTGAGTCCTATAAATAATGCATCTTGCAACACATTATCTAGACCGTCCATTTTCAAGATTTTCATATATTTACAATTAAATCTACTTGATTTTAAACTATTTTAAGTCTAAACTTTTATAATTAGAGATAAAAATTGATTTTCAGAAAATATTAAGAAGTTTCCACATCAAAATTACATTCTATGGTAAAATTTGGAGTATCGAAACAAGCATAATCAAGAGCACTTGATGCACTACAATGGTACAAAGACGAACACACAAATAATTCAGTTTGAGTCTTAATTTGGGTAAACTTGGCAGTAACTCTCTCCAAGTTCTTTGTTTTGGGCGTAGGGAAGTTGAAGTTAAGTTGGTAAGGTGCCACGAGACCAGTATGTGCGCGTGAGAGAGAGGTTTTGTTTTTTACATGGACAATGGATTTCTAAGGAAATAGCTACTAATTGGATGGGGAGGATAAAGTATTGAGTTGTGAAGGTTGCAATGAGAATGGGTCGATGTTCAATTTAACTTATTCAACAGAAATAGAGAGAAAAGAAAGAGAGAGAGTGAGTGAGAATGGGTCGGTTCAGTGCCCCATATGCTCTTCTGCAGATTTGGCCGGTTCTGGTCTGAAGCTTTTTTGTTGTGTCAATTTTTTGGTATGTCTTCTCCTTGTCTTTCTATGGTAACACTGGGGATTCTTTTGGTACGGTATATTGATTTTTATGGGTGTAACACCCCTTGTCAATGATTTGAAGCTTTGCTACTTGGTCTGGTTGCATTTCAGCATCTATCCATTCCTGGTTCGATAATAGAAACATGTCTCTTCGCCAGTTTCTACGGCAGCTCGATTATTGCAAACCTCTCTCTCTCTTGCTTGATATCGCTCTCTTAATCTCTCTCTCTCTCTCTCTCTGAGCTTACTCTAATGAAATCATGACAAAGATGGGCAAACAAGACTTATCGGCCAGCTTCCTCTAATGAAATCATGACAAAGATGGGCAAACAAGACTTATCGGCCGTCCTTGACTAAAACAGAAATGAAGCATTTATGTAGTCAGCAGCTGTTTGCATTAATAATTTTGTGAATCCTTTTTTCGTCACTTATTTAAGAGCGAGAGAGAGAGAGAGAGCATTTAAGTGTTGAAGGGAAAAGCATAATTGGGGTAATTTGTAGTTCTAAACTTGGAAGGAAATGATGGGTGGACAGCAGGGGGAGGGGGGATCGAGCAATAATGGTTGGGAACTTGCCATTTGAGGGAGTTAATGATTGAAGTCATGACTTTGACTACAGAAGCAACATCAGAGTACAGTTAATGGCACTATACATGTGAAGAGGAATGGCAACACACGAATTATTCATGTTTTGTGATACAAAGTTCAAGATTATTTCAACACTCCAAATACAAAAAGTCGGAAATTTCGATCAAATCTTATAAGAAATTCAACTTAACAATGTTAGTCACCTAGAGAATTAAAAGGATTGCATTTTAGGTAGCCAAGGATTGGATCTGGTTTTAGGTATATTATAGAAGTGGAAATGGCGGCATTTTTCGCTTTAAGTCCCAAAAAAGAAAAGAAACCAGCTTCTGCTTGGGATGAAAGTTCTTTTTTCGTTCAAAATGATAGGAATCAGGAAGTAGAAGATACCAACTTTAAAACAAACGAAATCTCAATGCTACAGAAAAAGGCACCTCAATGTTTGATATAACAATCAGTACTAGGCCACCAAAGAAAGAACCCAGAACTGTAAAATTCCTCTTCCAAAATGCATGAAAGAGAGACTTGGGCTAGCATTTAATCAACGCGAGCCCAATCAAAACTTGATTAACCAAGGCCATAATTACTTTCCACAATAGATCAAGTATGCACTAAAAAAAGTTGGTCAAAATTCTAATATGAGAAAAGCATGACAGAGAGGTTATTAAAAGAAGAAAAACCCCAATGGGAAAGCATTCGCCGTACAAAAAATTTTCAAACCCAGAAAACTTTTGAATTCAAGGATTTCAAATACCTAAGAGAGAGGCATTAATGGTATAATGACAAACAGAAAAGTGATGATGAAGGCTTAAAGAAGAATAAATATACCAATCTGCCAATCTACCGGCGAGAACTGGAAGTTTGTGATTGCCTAAATTGTATAGTCCAGAAAACCGAGTTTTACCTGAAAGCTAACCCCCTTTTGTATCAAATGCTTTATCATAATCCGGTACCAAATGCTTGAATTTCATAGAGATTGTAAATGTCCCCAAATTCTACAAATATGAGCTGAACTTTAGTCTGAATATTGACCATTCAATCAATTGATGAGTTTGACAGATGAAAATACATAAATCATAGCGTACTCACACTTCGGTTTCAATCTTTAGAGACTATGGACATGCTCAAGGAACAAAGTGCCTTGCAGGAGGATGCGAAAAAATGAATATGACCTTTTCGAAGAGGGTTGAGTGTTTCATAGATTACACCAATCGAGTGGCAATGACCTAGTTATCAGAAAAAGAAAAAAAAGAAAAACAGTAAGAAAGCTTTGCATTGCCATGCTGCCACTGCCCCTAACCTCATTGTCTCTGGTTTCATTACTCAGGGGTCAACAACCAATGATATATTAAGGCTGAAGTAAATGCATCGATGACCATGAATTCCTATCACTAAACATATACATAATCGAAGTATGAGGTGAGAGATACTGATTAAAACAAACCCAAAAGAAAAAGAAAGGCAATGAGCAAGACAATCGTCACCAACAAATCAACAAGAATAGCATAACTGCCCTTGCTTTCCACCAGAAGCATAAATGACATAAGTTCAGAGGCAATCCCCTAGATACAATGCATGGGTTGGCCAGCATACCAAATAGCGTGATCGTAATAAGAGGGCATGGCTTGCAATTCACCGAACATGGCAAGGAATGTTGGAGCAATCGATATTTTTCTCAAATTCATTTCCTTTCAGGCACTCTGCCCAAGCTTGCAGATAACATGATTGTGATCAATGATATAGTAGTGAGATTTAATCACATAAACAAATGATTTGAGCAGTTCCAAGTATTAGAGAGAGGGG